TCTAGTTTCATTGCAGGTTCCAAAATTCTCAAAAGAGAAGTTTGACAATTGGTGCATCCGAATGAAGGCCATACTCGGTGCACATGATGTGTGGGAAATTGTCGAGAATGGATATGATGCTCCTAAAGACATGAGTGCTCTTACACAAGCACAAAAGGATCAGTTTAACAGCATCAAGAAAAAGGATCAAAAGGCCGTTTCTCTTATTCACCAAGCATTGGATGAGGTTACCTTTGAGAAGGTTTCTAATGCCACCACAGTAAAGGGTCTGTGGGAGAAGCTTCAAGCTGCCTGTAAAGGAAAAGAAAAGGCAAAGAAAGTGCGCCTCCAAAGTTTGAGAGGTGAATTTGAAGCTGTCTAAATGAATGAGACAGAAAAGGTGTCAGATTATATTTCAAGGGTCATGGGGATTGCCAACCAGATGAGAAGGCTTGATGAAGAGGTGACTAATTTAAGGATAATTGAAAAAATTCTTAGATCAGTTACGGAGAAGTTTGATTATGTGGTGATAGCCATTGAAGAATCAAAGGACTTGGAAGACATGACTGTTGAAGAGTTAAGTGGTTCACTTGAAGCACATGAGGAGAAGCTCAATAGAAGAAAGAAAGAGCCTGTGGAGCAGGTTCTACAGTCAAGACTTTCTCTGGGTGATAAAGAACAAAAGGGAGGCACAAGTCAAGGAGGACGAGGTCGAGGTCGAGGCCGTGGACGCAGTCATGGTCGAGGACGTGGAAGAGGAGGAAGAAGTGTCCAGAACACTGATCAAAGCAGAGATGAAAATTTTCAATTCTCCTTTTTGAGAGGTCGTGGCAGAGGAGGATCAAGGCCATATCAGAAGAGGTATGACAAATCCCAAATTCAATGCTACACTTGTCATAAGTTTGGGCATTATTCATGGGAATGCAGATTTGGCAACAATGTGAAAGCCAATTTCTCTCAAGATGAAGATAAAGAAGTTAACGCAGAGGTGGAGACAACTCTCTTGTTGGCCTGCAAAGATATGAAGAGTGAAGGAAAGCACTCTTGGTACCTTGATACTGGAGCAAGCAACCACATGTGTGGAAACAAAGAATTATTTGTGGAGCTTGATGAGAAAGTTGGCGGCAACATCACCTTTGGAGACTCTTCCAAAATACCAGTGAGGGGTAAAGGTAAAATTCTGATACGCATGAAGGATGGAAATCATCAATTTATCTCAAATGTTTATTATGCACCTGACATGAAGAGTAATATTTTGAGTGTGGGCCAACTGTTAGAAAAGGGATATGCTGTTTTCACAAAAGGTTGCAGTTTGTACTTGAAAGATTCTGCAGGAAGCTTGATTGCCAAAGTCTCAATGTCAAAGAATCGTATGTTTGCTATGAACATACATACAGATGTGGCTAAATGCTTAACATCTTGTTATAAAGATTCTTCATGGTTGTGGCATTTGAGATTTGGGCATATGAACTTTGGAGGACTTAAGGCTATGGCTAGCAAAAGAATGGTGAAAGGCTTGCCCTCGATGAATCAACCTGATCAACTTTGTGAAGGTTGTCTTCTTGGTAAACAATCAAGAAAGAGCTTCCCAAAACAGTCCCAATCAAGAGTTACGAGGCCACTACAGCTAGTTCACACTGATGTCTGTGGGCCGATCACCCCATGTTCTTTCGGTAAGAACAAATACTTTCTTTTGTTCATTGATG